GTTTACACACCCAAAAGAACAATGTCTTGTAGATGCTATAGTTAACAAACTTGAAATCAATCAGAATATTATTTGAGAATTGAAGTTAATAATAGTTTAAATACAACAATCATACTTTTTAAAACCGGCGAAATGTCATTATCCAAAGATCAAATATTGATGGGTTTACACATCCAAAAGAACAATCTCTTGTAGACGCGGTGGTTAACAAACTTGAAATCAATCAAACAAATTCGATCAAGATCAAACGATTTATATTTAATTTTTTTTAAATTATAAAACAAAAATTAAAATCTTAATTTTCTTAACCATCAAATTTTGATTGCGTGCATGTGTATAACGCGGGACTGTTGTTACTTTTTTGTCCCTATTTTAATGTGTGGGCCTAAAATATTTTCTATGTATTTTTCTCTATAAACTCCCCACTCTTACTCCATTTCTCCTTATACTCATAACTCACGATGGAAGCTAAGAGTGCTATGGAGAGGAACCAAACATCAGTTGAGAAAGTGTGGGTAGACAACATAGTTGAAGAAACAGAAGATCAAGAAGAGGAAGAAGATGATGGTGTTGAAAAAGATGAGAAAAAGAAAGGTGTTTGTGTGGGTGGGAGAAAAGGACCAAATAGAGGAGGAAGATTTTCTCCACCTTCCTGTCAAGCAGAAACTTGTGAAGCTGTTTTAACTTTTGCAAAGAGGTATCATCGTCGCCATAAGGTTTGTGAGGTTCATTCCAAGGCACCTGTTGTGGTGGTTGCAGGACTGAGCCAAAGGTTTTGCCAGCAATGTAGCAGGTGTTCAATCTTCATCTCTCCCTTTCCTCTAAATTTTTTTCTCTTGGTTTGAATTGCTTTTATGATAATCACTTTTCTGTAGATTCTATTGTAGTAGTATGTCATATGCATCCATAAAACATTTTTCAATTTATTATACATTGATGAATAATCATATAGATATCTGTTCAAAATTTTAAAAATATATATAAAATAACTATGGATCCTGATTTCACAGTTTCAATTTTTTATTTTTATTTTTATGGGTTTTCACAGTTTCAACTTCAAGAACAAAACTACAAGTGTAATTTAAAATCATGATTATCTTCGTGACTTGTTTAAAGTTTTGAAACCCGGCAAAAAACTTAAGAGAGCAAATCTAAATCTATGGTTTTATATTCCATCTTACAATGCGATTTAATATCACAATCCAATAGAAAGTACATCAAATAAATATATTTTGTTGGATGCTAGCGTAAGCGAGTAAAGTCTCGTATCGTCTATGAATAAGTAAAATATTAGATTTATAAGATAAAGAATTCATTTATCTAACACTTTAAGATTTTAAATTAAAATGTGATATCTCTTTTATAGTCACGAAGCATTCGTCTCATTGGTGCTTCCAGACTCCCCAATTATTTATAATGAAATGGAACCGCATTTATATCTACCACCACAATTTAAAACCATACTTAAATCTTTAAATGTTAATTTTATATGGCAAGATCCCATATTAAAAAATTGAACATTATTGTTTTTTTTTTTAAATCTTTTTCACTATATTATGCCTCCCCAAACAGAAAACTATTCTATGCATTCACCTTAGAAACATGTGATGAGTGTGTGCAGGTTCCATGAGCTTGCAGAGTTTGATGAAGCTAAAAGAAGTTGTCGGAGACGCTTAGCAAAACACAATGAGCGACGGCGCAAAAGCTCTGCGGGAACATGCAATGAAGGAAGCAGTACTGGTCAGCAACATAATGCTGGTGACTGGAGAAAAATTCGTATGAACATTACAGGGAGTTCTGGTCACGAGTATTTGAATTTCTGATGAATATTCATATTTTCAATATGCTTACTCTTCCTTGCAAGCCAAGGCATGTAATAAAGACTTTTTTATGTTATGAGAATGATAAAAATTTAAACCTTTACAAATCAAGAGACCGAAGCAAAGTGTTTCGCAAATATCTGCGCTGCGATGCACGGAATTGGACGATTTCGTTATAGCCCTTTCCTTTTTTACCTATATATTTTTCTGTGTGTCTTTTGAAAGATTTAAATTAGATTCATAAATATAAAATTATAGCATATATTAATAATAGAAATAGGATTAGATCACGAGCGGTAGAGTACTATCCTAATTGTTGTCTAAGTTTTACCATTATTGTATTAATCGTATAAGGGGTCACACTTAAATAGCTAACTGATCCTTGAGATATTTTATTTAACTTAATTGAATGATTTAACATATCAACGTTTATTTAGAAACAAAATTCAATCAACAATTTATTTAATATTTAATAACAATTGATTAAAATATAATTTATTAATAATTAATTATGTCAATCTATAATTTATTAATATAATTAATTCAACAATCTTTCACTTGGTCAATAGTAATCAATTGTTTAAGAAAATTAATTTTAATACTAAAATATCCCAAAACACTAACCGATAAAAAAAGAATTAAGCTTTAACATTGCATAAATTGTATCCAATAGAAATAACAAATCATACACGTTAAAGATATACATTTTTATCAAGAATATTGAAATAGAGAAACATATTTAAAGTAAGATAATTATTTATTATAAAATTATTCAAATATATGAAAATACTAATGATAATCTCTCACTAACTCAAAATATCACATGACTTACTCAAACAAATATGAAATATTATACTCGTGTATGTAAGTCAATAATTTATTATTATTATTATAATGAATTTTCAAATAATAGGTTATAGAATATCCACGTAGATTCAAGAATAGTAATTATACATGGGCATTATTTATTGCAAGAGTTATTATTTTTAACTATAAGTGTTGGACCAAAAATGGTCGTCATAATAATTATGTCAACAAAGACCCTAAAATGACAAGTTAAATGATCAAATTCAAAAGAATTGTATTAACCTCATACAAAGGACTGTGTGATTGCACTTGTGAATTCATTGTATTGAGTGGGTAACGGTAACAGGGATACGCAGAGTGGGATTGATTGATTTGTATGCTTAATTGTATAGCTAAAATGCTAACTAACAATTGACACATATAATTTTAAAATTGATTAAGTTCCTCTTTCAAATCATCTACCCCTCGATGCAAGAATTGTCGTAAGTGACCCTACAATGACTCTGCTTTAATTATAACATTTTACAAAATACGAAATTACAACATTGCAACCCCTATATATTGGGAGTCTCCAATTTGAAGGTAACTCGCTTCGTCATAAGATACCTCCTTATGTATTAGGAGTCTCCAATCGCAACAGAGAAAGTTTTATGGAACGTAAAATAAGAAATAAGAAGACACTTCTATAAAACATATAATTATAACTTCACAACCTCTCATATACTAGGAGTCTCAAATCGCAAGGTGACCCCCTTTGTCACAAGGAACCCCATGATGCATATGGTAGTTGTATCCAGCTGTTAATAGCTAATATTGGGTTGTTATAACTGCTTAGGTAGTTGTGGGGCAGGAAATGTTGTTAGTATATAGTTAGAAACTAACCATTCAGTATATGCTTTTGATGAGTGAATAAAATTCTTCTTTTCTATCTCGGTTCTCTATCCTTTCTCTATATATTCTCCCTCTCTATCATTGGTATTTAGAGCCTTTCGACCACGGGAACACCGTTCATGGCGAAAGAACGCGTCAAGGCGGCGGTGTAGCCATGTATCACCAAGCAACTATGCAAATTGGAGGACCGTTTCTAACTTTAATACACCATTGTGCAAGAACCCTTGCGTGGAATTGGCAACGCGATTAATGCATTTGGATTTTCAAAAATTCACTCTTGAGGATGTTGAATCATGGATTGCGAAATGTGAGCGTTTTTTTGCATTGGATGGAACGCAAGAAGGGGACAAGGTCTCAGATACAAGTATCGCTCTTAATGATAACTCTTTTCGTTGGTTCCAGAGTCTAGAGCAGGGATCAAATAACCGATTGACATGGCCGAATTTCTCCGGTGCATTGAAGATGCGATTTAGCCTCGAGTTCGATTCACCTACGGAAGAACTCAAGAAGTTGGTGCAGACTAGTTCACTAGAAGAGTATCAGGAATCGTTTGACAATTTGGTGGGTAGAATAGCTTTGACAGAATCTCAAAAGCTGCAATGTTATTTGGGAGGCCTTCAACCGGAATTGTGTAATGGTGTAAAGATGTTTGTCCCTCGTACGGTGTTGGAAGCTACTCGTATTGCAAAGTTTCAAGAGAGATGCTTGGATTTGTTGTAGAAACGTTTGGTGTCTGCAAATCGAACCCACAATTCTTGGAGTGAGAGGAAGAATACAATTTTTATCACCTTTGACAAGAAATTGTTGCCTCAAAAGAAGAAAGGGATAGTTGAAGGTTCTCAGAAGAGCCTTTTGGGAAAGCCGACCTATACAATTCAGAAGAAACTTTTCCCTAAAGAAATGGATGAACATAGGGCTCAAAATTTTTGTTTTTTCTGTCATGAAAAATTCTTTTCTAGATATGATTGTCCTCAGATGAAAAAAATGCAATTTTTCGTTATGGAAGTTGGGGAGTACAACCATTTGGACTCAATTGAATTTGATTTTGTTTTTGAGGGAGTATCTATTGATATTACTCATAGTGTTGATCCTATTGTTTCCCTTAATGCCATTGCGGATAACTGTAGCTAATGGCGGGCTCATACATGGTGCAGGAAGGTGTGAAGGCATCAGGTTAAAGCTTCAAGGGTATGATTTTCTCACTGATGCTATTGTTATACCATTGTCTAGTTGTGATGTTATATTGGGAATGCAATGGTTAAGGCAATAAGGAGTTGTACAATGGGATTTTACCAATATGGCTATGGAATTTCTATGGATAGTATTCATGAGAAGTTACAGGTTGTTAAAGAAAATGAGAGTAGGGTAGTTTCTGCTTCTAAATTGCATCAGTTAGTGGTTGAAGATAGCTTCTATTATATGTTGTCATTTCTACCTTGTTCTACAGAGGAAATCTGTTGTTCTATGACCACTGACGAGCTAGAGGATCTTGTGATGATGGCTCATAGAGATTCAGTTTTACATGAGTTCCAAGAGGTCTTTGAAACACCTACTCAGCGGTGTTACTTATTTTATAGGAAATATTCTAAAAACACGTGATCACATTACGGTGTTACTTAAGTGTAACATAATTTCTTGATTTGTCTGGTTCAAGATTTGGAATATTGTTTAGATATCACTGCTATGTTGATGAACGCGTCAATTTTCCCATGTGTAGTTGGATAGTGTTTTGGTGTCTTGTAGGTACGCCGCTATTAGATAATTTCACTATTTTTGAAATTAAGCAAGAATGTTTGGATTGTGTCGCTTTGCTGGTGAAGGGTTATGATGGCTTGTTGAAATTCAATAGCGTTATTATGATGTTGGAGTGTGCCGCTATTGGTTGTGATCAATACTTTTCTCTAATTTCATATATTCCTTGTGTTCTATTCCTTTTCTTTCTTCTTCCTCATACCTTTCATAGTAAAATATCATGTAATTTGTTTAGTTATGATGATTTCAACACTATTTGGTCTATTTCGTGAATCTTTATAATCTTTATTTTAAAATGATAACATGTATTTTTACCGTTTTAACTAGATTTTTATAAATTTTAGTGACTTTTTAAGTAACTTTTACTTCAATAACCAGACTTTTCACTTTGCATTTTAGGTACAAAATGATTGACACTTATTATGGAAGAAAGAAGAGAAAAACAAAGAAAAATCAAGCTTTTGGCCTAGTGACGGAGACCATGACGATCGTTATGCTCCAAGAGGAGTTGGACGTCATGGATCCTAAGACAAAGAAGGGAAGAAGCGCTTGAATACCATGACTGGTAGGCCACCGGCCTTGTTGATGCCCATCATGTACCCAGGGCTTGGAAACACATTTCCATAACATCATGACTGGAAGGCCGTCATGCATAATGACGTCTGTCATGACTCTCAATTTCCCCACTTTACAACATTTTCTTAATTGATCTCTCCACGATCCAGGGTTGTTTTAGCCGATTTCTCAACATTTTCTGCCACTTACTAAGCTTGGATTTTCCTATAAATAGCCTTGTAATGATTTGTAAAAAGATCAAAGGATTGTTGTCCTAGATTTACTTTACCTTTAGCATAAAAATTCTGCATTAGAGGTTTCATGCAATTTATTTTTCTAAACTTTTGGAGTTAATTTTCTACTAGTGTTTTTATATTCTACACTATTGTAATCGGAACAAAAGTCTTCCTTTAGAGCAAGTTATTTATCAAGATTCATTTTCATTTATTTCTAAGTTCTTCTTTACTGGTTTTCATTATGAATTCATCAATATTATGCTTTGTATGCTTAGTTATTATGTCTGAGTATTTCATTCTAGAGTCTGAAACAAGATGGGTATTTTACTAGTTTATTTTATATGAGTTGCTTAAATATTTATTTGTAACGAGAATTAAAATGTTGTTTTATAATTTATAGTTTTAAGATAAAATATGTTTGCAACGAAAGTAGAAACATTGAGATATCAGCTACCTAGTGAAAGGGAGAAATTAATATCTGATGTAGAAATTCAAACGATAGTTTCTGATGGCCATGCAAAATTGGGTCAAAATTGATAGAAAGAATGTTGGAAATCCACCAATTCCTATGATGAATTTATATCAATCTTGATGAACAAGATTTTTATCACCACACAATGACAATGAAAAGAAAAGAAAATTAAAGAAGAAAAGATATTTAGGATTTCTGCAGAGTAACTCTCTGTCCATAAATTATGGAAAACTTTCATATTCACTTGCAAATGCAAATTCTGTGAATACAACTTAATTAAAAAATAGGGG